CAGCTCAATAGCAAAACAATCATTATTATCACATGGATTTTTATTAGCACTAAAAACATTGAATTTGATTGTTTGATCATGCACAGTCATTGTAAGATCACCACTAGCACAATCAATAAGAGTTTTCGACGTGGCTAAAAACGGCCTCCCTATGATAAGAGGTATCTCCCTATCCTCATCTATATCAAGTATAACGAAATCGACAGGGAAGATAAATTTATTGACTTTCACTAGCACATTCTCTAAAATACCTTTTGGGTAAACTAAAGATCTATCGGCTAACTGAAGAGTTATCATCGTCGGTTCAATTTCTCCTAACCCAAGATTTTTAAAAGTGGAATAAGGCATAAGATTAATGCTAGCGCCTAAATCAATGAGGGATCTAAAACTTTTACCTCCCATAGTACAAGGAATAGTAAATTTACCTGGATCGCCGAGTTTTTGTGGAAGGGGCAGAGTAAGAATTGCACTAATTTGCTCCGTGAGTTGGATCATCTCGTTCCCTTGCAATTTCTTACTTTTCTTCACGAGGTCCACAAACTTTGGCATCTTTTGAAGTGCTTCAATGAATGGAATATTTATGCGAATTTCCTTCAACTTGTCCAAAAATCTTTGATATTCGGCATCGAGCTTCTTCTTTATAAACTTTTGAGGATAAGGAATTGGAGGGACTTGTGAAGGCACCGTTGATGGTGGCTCTTCATGAGTTGATTATTTTTCCTCATTCATTTTCGGCTTCCCGATTACCGTGTTTCTCTTCTCTTTTCGTGGGGCTTCCTCCAACTGCTTACCGTTCTTCAAGGTGACTGCTTCGCACGTCTCGACCTCGATCTTTTTCGTTAGCAATCTTTGTGGATATGGGATTGGTTCCACCCATTCGGCTACAGTGACTTGCGGCTTGACATGAATTTCTTCTTTTTTCTCGATCTTGAAATCGATAGCTTGGCTCGTCTCGAACTTCTGCTTTCGAGGATCTTCTGTATTCGATGGCAATGCTCCCGCCAGACGGTTCTCTTCATTCACAACGAATTGAGCGAATTGATTCTCCAAATTTCGCAGCGAGGCTTGGGTAGCAGTCATGAATTTGGCCAATATCTCCTCCGTGCTTGATTTTTGGGCCGGTGGATTGTTGCCTTGATAGCTTTGTTGATGAGGGGCTTGATTTTGGAATTGACCTTGAGGTCTTTGATATCCTTGGCCTTGTTGATTTCCTCCATATTTCCCTTGTGATCTCCACCCTTGATTTTGGAATTGGCGAGGCGCGTTATTGACGTAGTTGAGCGATTCCACATCTTGTTGGCATTGGAGCGTGTACTGATTTCCACCGCAAATTTCACAACATGGAGAATCAATTGCTTGGACTTGTTATGGTAGACTTGCTTTGATGTGCTGTAGAAGAAGTTGATTTTGTTGAGCAATTTGGGTCACTTGAGCTTGAAGGGCCGTAATTGCATCTAACTCCAACACTCTGGGAACCTTCTTGGCTCCACTAACCGTCCTTTCGCTTGACTTGGCAAACCGATTTTGTGCAATTTGATCCAACATGATAAATGCATCTGGTATCAATTGACTCATAAAATTTCCCCCAGTTGATGCATCTAAGACAGTTCGTGCATTCTTGTTAATCCCTTGGTAGAAGATGTGGATTTGCCGCCATTGTTCGACTCCATGTGTTGGACACTGCCGCAAAAGAGTTTTAAATCTCTCCCATGCCTCGTATAATTGCTCACCTTGCTCTTGGATGAAATTATGAATTTCTCGTCGGATTCTCTCGTCCTTCTCGGGTGAGCTGTAAACTTTCATGAAAAGGTTGAGAAGTTGAGGCCACGATGAGATAGAGTCGGGAGCTTGGGACATCAACCACTGGCGAGCTCTTCCTTGTAAGGAGTGCTTGAAGAGAATTAATTGAAGCGCCTCTTGGGAAACGCCGTTTTGACTGTGGGAATTACAGGTATCTAGAAAATTGACAATGTGAAGATGGGGATCTTCACCCGCCAATCTACTAAATAGCCCGTTATTTTGGAGCATCGTCAAGAGGCCTTGCTTGATCTCAAAATTGTGCGCCTCAATAGGTGGATATTGGATGCTCGGGCGGAATCCGTCGAGAGTTGGGATTATGTAATCTTGAAGTGCTCGTGGCCCAACTGCTGACTGTAACGGAAGTTGAGGGGGTGGGTCTTGGATGCGAATTCCATTCGCATCGAGTAAATGACCCTCTGCATCTCTGCATTCTTCGTCTGCCATTATATTGTTTGCACGTTGACGTCACCTAGCGGCTCGAAAAGTACGTTCGATTTCGGGATCAAACGGTTCTCTAGCAAGATCGAGTCTCCTGCGCATACACAATACCTAAAAAAAACAAAAAATTAAATGGTTGAATCGTGAAAATTGTTCAAATCTAGAGCTAGAATAAAATAATCCCCGGCAACGGCGCCAAAAACTTATTGGTTGTAATACCTACACGCAAGTGCACGTATCGTACAAGTAATATAGTGGACAATAAAGTCCGGATATCGAACCCACAGGGAATATTTAATTACTTAATCCTAGACGCTAAATTCTAGCAATTACTATCAAGCCCACCCTACACAGTCGACTTTAGAGAGAATGAACTAAATTAAACTAAATTAAAAGACAAACAAAAACAAGAAAGCAAATTAAAACGAAGATTTAATCAAGATAAGCAAGCCTAGGATTTTATTCTTCCCCTATGTGATTATTATGCCCCCAATTCCTTCAAGTATGCAAGTAATTAACCCGGATTATTAACCTGAGATGCTAAAATAATCATAACCCGCTTCCGCTTGTATTACGATTCTAATATTCTAGATTCAATTACTATATTCCTATGCAATTAATTCTAGAACACAACATTAAGCACAAATCTCAATAATGGCTACCTAAGAGATTAACTATATTCCTATGTTATACCACAAAGGATCTTCTACCATTGTTCTAATTATTAACCCGATCTTCCGATTCATGCGATTAACAATAACATAAAAGCACATAAGTTGATCAAGTTCATGCACTTAATAAAACAAGTAGAAGAAATAATCCGGAATTAAAACTTGCATAAAATCATAGAAAAGGGTTCATAAATCCCACATAGGGTTCAAAATAAAATCCTAGAAACTAAAGACTTAGTTACTCATGATTAAAAGAAAAACGCAAATAAAATTAATCATAAACGGTAAGTCTATGCTTGGAGACTTTGAATTCTTCGTCTACGTTATTGCTTTGTTGCTCTTGAAATTGTGTAAAAAGATCCCCAATTGTGTGCTTGGCTTGGTCTTATATAGGGTGAAAAACTTGGGGAAGGACGACCGTCCCACAATTTGAACTAAAACTCGGACAGCCGTCCGAGCTTTAAATCTTCAGAATTTTGATTTTTTAACTTTTGGCCCATATTTTCTCCAAAATTGCAATTTTGACCCCATATTTTTCCAATTCCTCAATTTGTACCTAAAATACAATAAATCAACTTTTTAAGCACCAATTATCGTTAAAACACACCAAAAGCTCAAATAAAAAGGTACGATAAAGTGTAAAAATATACAATTAACTATAGACTACACCAAAAACACCATCAAAACTACTTGCCTCCTTACGGGAGATAATAACTCATCCCTCCTTGAAGCTCACACCATTTCATTCACAATCAAAGTAGCTTGGTTACATTTTGGTGCTTGAAAGCCTCTCTTCCTTCGGTTGTTTTCTTCTCTTCGATTTTAAGGTAAGAAATTCCGATTTCTTGCTGCAGTTAAATGGCATCAATAGTATTAAAATGGTTTTCAAAATTTTCTATAATATTTGGAGTGATTTCGAAAAATTAGGGTTTTTTGGGGAAAAATGGAAAAGAAGTGTTTAATGTTGATTTATTGTTCTTGCATGCATCATCTATGTTGGTAGTGGGTAGATACAACTTTTATTGGCCAAAACCATTAAAAATTTTGGATTTCAAAAAGGGGTTTCAAGAAAAATGGATTTTTGAACTTTTATGGGGTTGTATGTGTAAATCGAAAGATTTTTGGGTCAAATCTGTAGTTTTTGAGAAGTCAGTCCTAAATGTGTTTTCAACTGTTTTCCAGCATTTATTGAACAAAAAATTCGGATTTAAAGAAGTTTTGTAAGAAAAGTAATTTTTGAACTTCTAGTGTTCTTGCATGATCTAGAGATTTTGGGGTTAAATATGTAATTTTCGAAATTTCTGCATAAAGTAACTTTCTAACATTGTTTTCTGCATTTATTAAAGTAAAATTTCAAATTGTTAGGGGTTTTTAATGAAAAAGTAGATTTTGAACTTTTAGTGTGGTTGCATGTGTGAATCTTGAAACTTTGGGGTCAAAACTGTAATTTCCGAAAAATCCGTCATTTTTAAACTTAGGAATCTATTTTCCTGCAAGTATTAAATAAGAAAAATTTTATTTACAAAGGTTTTAAAATAATTGAGGTTGTATTAGAGTTTTGAATTTTTAAAATTAAAAAGGGGTTTTTCTAGTTTTTAATTTCAAGAAAATTCGAAACTTCTCTCTCTTTCCTCTCCTCCCTCACGTATCTTTTTTTTTCTCTCCTTTAACTCCTCTCTCTCCTCTCAATCACGCCCCTCTCTCTCTCTCTCTCTCTCTCTCTCTCTCTCTCTCTTTTTTTGTCTTTTTTTCTTTTCTATTTTCTATTTCCTTTTTTTTTCTTTTTTTATTTTCTATTGTACAACAACAAATTGCAAAATACAATTAGCAACATACAAACTGCAATTTATAATAGCAAAAATAAATAGCAAAGCAAAATATAATACGGAACAACATACCATGTGTCAAAAATATTATTTTACAAATATTTTTTCACAACAACACAATATGTAACTAATGATAATTCGCTCAAACAATAGATGTTCAAGTTTATTCTTACACAAACAATATAAAATATATTTAAAATATAAAATATGAAATAAAAGATGATATAATAAACCAACAAACCATTTTTATTTATGAATAAATCTGTACATTAAATACAAAATATTGTAAGATACAAATTAATAGATACAAACAGTGTTGCAATATAGTCGATGAACAAACTACAATCTATCATAATTGATTATGGTTGGGGTGATGTCATAACAGACATAGTCTTGACGTCCGACTGAATTCACAACTTCCAAACGTCATCGGGGATCTTCTAGAAACATGATCGTGTCAGTAGCATCAACCTCTAATGAATCTCTTGTTTGTTTTCTTCTGGCCTATAGTTGCAGCGACGGTAAAATGCGAGTTCAACCAAAACAGCTTACAATTATAATATGCACAAATTTGCATCAATGCATATTACAATATCAAAACGCATCATAGAATCACTATAGAAAAGTACAATATTCGAAGTTGCAACAACGAGATGCAAAAAAATACAATTACTATTGCAATATGCAATACATTATGAAACAGCAAAATACAAAAGAAAAAAAAAGCCATACACACATTAACTTTAATACGAGTTTAGAAAGAGAACAAAAAAATATGTGAAACCTTTCATAGTTATTCCTATAGAAGAAAAAAAACTAATATTAATTTGCAATAACGAGTTGCAAATTAAAATATGCAGAACTGCAAAAGTGAAAATCAAAAACGTCTAAAGGGACAACATCAACAAACTTCAAGTTGCAGACATCAACATGAAAAATATAAACTACAACAATATCAACAAAATAGTGGCAGCAACAACCAGATAAAAGTATGCAAATAACCATATCCAAATGCAATTGTCACCAACAAACTGCAAAATGCAAACGATACAATGACACTACGTTATTTTCAACAAGTATTTTGTTATGATAGATGAAACCATTTGTTACAACACCAAACTGCAAAATATTACAGTAAACTGCAACTTGTACTATGATAACAACAAAGTCGAAATGAATTATAATATAAAAGCAAAATACGCATCATATAAGAAAAATCCAAAATAAACAGCAAAGTGCAAAATATACTATGCTAAAAACAAAAAAAAAATCCAAACAAAAACCGATAAAATGTTGCAATCGACATCAAAAAATTATGTAACAAAAAACAGCAAAATCAAAAGAAAGAAACCAATGATTTTCACATAACAACATATATGGTAACTGGGGTCGAAGAATCAAAGTGCAAAATACACATAAAAACAGCAAAATAAACATAAAAACAGCAAAATGAAAAACAAACAAAAAAAATTCTTTGCAGAAAACAAAGTTATTACCTGGGGTCGTAGGCTCTAAATCTCTGTCTTTCACTTCATTCATAAAACAACCCAGTGTATTTCGTCAATGAATCGCGATTTAAAAAAAATATACAAAAAATGCAATATATAGCAAATTACCTGTACGTTTTCGATTTTGCGCCATCTTCTCGGTTTCCAGATCTACAGACTCTCTATAGATCTCAGCAATAAGTGGCTATGATTACAAAGTTTGGGTTGAACGAAAAGGGGGGAGAGTTTTTGCATGTTTCAAATGACGAGATTTGCAGATTTTTTCCTTCGATGGCGGTTTGCAGATTTACAACTTCTTCGTCGATCTGAGAATTTGGGCTATTGTGTGCGTTGAAAGAAACGAGAGGTGAGTTTTTGCAGTCTCCCTTTCGATGGCGGTGTGAAGATATACAACATTTTCTGTCGATTTGAGAATTATTGCTATAGGGTGCATTGAAAGAAACGAGAGGTGAGTTTTTGCAGTTTCAATCTCACGATTTGAGATTTGTTTGCCTATTTTCACTACCAGAAATCCGCCTTTTAGCTACGGACGAATCTGTCGCTAAAAAACATAAATCCGTCGCTACCACACGGTTAGCCACGAATATCGTGCCTTGCCAAATCCGTAGCTAAAAGCCGCGTCGCTAAATTTAGCTACGACTAAGTATAGTCCGTCGTTATATATAGCGACAAAATAATCTGTTGCTAATGACCGACAATGACGTTACTAAATTCGATCGACGGTGACAAGATATTCCGGTCACACACCCATTACATGCATCACTAAATCCGTCGCTATTTAAAACAAGCATTCTAATTAGAGAGGCGTACATCCTTGCTATATCCGTTGCAAAAACAGTAGTGAATTTAATAAAAAAAAAAAATTAAAAATTAAAAAATTAAAATATTAAAAATAAATAAATAACTTTTTTTTCTTTTCATATACATCACTGCCTTGTTTTTATATTTACTTAATATCTTCAATCCTCATTACAAATTACAATAAAGTGTTCAAAAGAGTTTAGCATAAACCAAAATCATAAATTTCAATTCTTTCCTATAAGAATTGCAAAGACCTATATCCATTACCATCTTCATCTTTCTCTTCATCTCGGTCTTCTATTTGTGCATCTCCATTTCCTTCTTCATCAACTTTTTTCTCAGACCACACTGCCTGATACAATAAAAGTTCAAGTAATAAATATACATTCAAACAAAATCCATATCTTATCAAATGAATAACTTCGCAAAGATGAATATTATTTATAAAAGCTAAAATAAATATCATTTGTGCTCCCAAACTTGTGCAAATTAAATCAGTTTTACTAGATAGAAAAGAGAATATATAAGAACAAAAATGCATTCACTTTAGGAGCACATTAAATAAAATTAATGCATAAACTAACTCAAAAAGATGAAAGTGAAAAATAATATTACCAGAATGGGAGGAAATAAACCAATGGGACAACACAAGCGTGCTTGATTTGCAGCCTGAGACTCCTGGTCATGAATCAAACCAAACACATATTATTAGAATCTCAAACATATACTTCTAAAATAGCTTAAGAAGGATGGCTTTGGAAAAAAATGAATAAGCTAATTACTTGTTAGTAAAATTTGTTAGATAGCTGCCAATAACTGCAGTGTATAACCTGGACATAAAAATCTTCATTAACCACACATGAGCGCAGCTCAAACACTTACACAAAGTTTGGCAGAGAATCTAGCGGTATGTTGTTCGTTAAAGGTGGCTCAACCGCATTCTTGATGCTTTCTTGTGATCATAATAAAGAAAAGAAAATAATTATGGTCAACTTATCAAATGACAGTGCTAAGATAATGGAGCTATGCAATTAAAAAATTCATTAGAGTTCAAGAAGTATAATATACCCTTTCAACAATTAATATTGAGGTCATAGACAACAATATAGAGAGTACATTAACACAAATCCCAATACATTAAAACTATAAATTGCTAATGTGTAGTTCATTAGAGAATGCTTAAGTCCAGTCAAAGAAATAGCAAACAGAGGAAGGTTATTACTAGTAGTTGACTTTTTCCAAGATAAAAAAATGTAATATGTAATTGTAATATTAGTACAAACTACCAACATTTAAAACTCAAGTCCAATTCAAAATTTAGCTAATGCATTGCATTTATTATACTAAAATGTAGTATTCAAGCATGAAATACTTACCCATCTTTGTTTTCTCTTTTCCAGCAACACAATTAACCACACCCTGTAATAAAGTGAGTCGACTTAACGTTGTCAACATATAACATACTATGCAAGTATATGAAGACAAATTTTTCGTATAAATGTGAAGCACAAAATGCTAAGAAAATTTTACCAATCTTATTGTAAAATTAACAATACCTGATAAACCAAAGCTTTCATTAAAACCTGAAAATAAGTACAAAAACAAAAATATTACACAGTACCAAATCAACAATGCACTCTGAGTCTTCGGTAAAAAACAAAAATAAAAAAAAAAGTCAGTAACTTTAGTCGAAAAGTAATACCAAACCCTTATATACAAAATCCATCTTGCACTATCGAAGAAAACAATCCGCCCTGAATTCTCCAAACGGATAAGAAAATAAGAGACCATAAAATAATTCAACAAACAAACAACAGGAATGAAAGATTTGTCATAAATTTTGGTCCAAATAAAATTGGTCCTTCAGCATACCTAAGTAAAATTGAAGGGAAAAAAAAACCTAAATTGGAAATTTGTTAATGTTAACTGTGAAAGAGATCGAAGACGGACACAAAGAGATTATTTGAGAACGAAAACTATAGATCTATATAGACATAGCAAACAACGATACCTCAATTGGAGAACAAATGGTGGTGGATGCTCGTATTCTCACGGAGATGCACGAACGAACGCAGAGAAGAAGGTAGAGAGCGAGAGACAATTTGGGTCAAATCTGATAAATACATTTTAAAGAATAAAAAGGAGAATAAACGTGAAAAAGGAAAAGACGGGAATAATTTTTTGTTCGGATAAATTCATTATAATGCATATGAATTTTTAGAAACAGATATAGAGACAAACGTCCGTCGCTCAATACTTACTTTAGCTACGACTTTGATGTCCTCGCTAATGGGCTGTCGCCGATTATGACATTTCAAATGGAAAGCGACGTTTTTATCTTCCGTTGCTAATTCTATTGCTAAATGTTGCTTTTAGAAACAAAACAAATATCCGTCACAAATTGCCGTCGCTAAATCGCGTTTTTCTAGTAGTGTTTTTAGCTAAAAAACTGATTTGCTGGATAATTATATTTAAAAGGGAATTTTCCTATTTAGCTGCCAAGGGCAAATTAGCCAAAAATATTAGTAGGGGTTTAGAAAAATAGGACTTATGACTTGGACTAGGACCTATATAATCTTAGAGTGGAGGGTTTATAAAAAAATACCCCTTGATTTAATGACTATGAGTGATGAGATTTGAGATTTTGTACTTTTATTGCTGCGTGGATGTGGATTAATTGCGGTGAGAATTTATTGAAATGGATTATTACCTTGAAGTGGTAATAAGTTCATTAAATGAAAGGTGAAAAGGAGTGCTTGCTTTACAATCATGGTTTAATATTAAATGGTGATGCTTAATGTGTGACTGCATGTGTATGTGCTGAATATGTGTGAGTGTGTGTGTATACTGAATGTGCATGTGGTGTGTGCCGTGTGTGGTTGTGTGTTTATATGTGTGAATTTGGGGAATTTTGCCCAAAGCTATAAATATGTGGTAAATTGTGATATTTGTGTGATTTCGTGGCACTTGATTGATATTTGTGATGTTTATGTGTGGGTCATAAGCATGATTTCGAAAAGTTGCATTAAATGGTTTTCAAATTGAAAGATTAATGGAATATCGGGTAATAAACAACTCGGATATAGAGAGCCGGTATCCAACTAGGATGATGTGTTGTGGTTTGATTCCACTTAGTGAAAACGGGCTCGTAACAGGTTTATTATCCAGGTACAAAAATTAATCTTTCACGGATACGGTAAAACGAAAAATGTGTTTTTCACGATTTTCATAAAAAGGGCATTTTAGTCATTTTGCATAAGTACGTGATTTTGTGCGGATGATGTGTTTTCGTGAGTTATGTGATTTTACCGATTCTCTAGTGTTGTTGTTTGGAACATTGGTAGGAATGGATATATAATATTATATATTATATATAATATTATATAGCGGATCGAGGTCTTGCCCGGGTTTTTTTGGAAGTTGTACGAGGACCTATGAACGATGCTAAAGTCTTTTGGTTATTTTCTTTTGTTGATGTAATATTAAACCTAAATTTTTTTATTTCCATACCTTTTAAACTCATCACCGGCACGAATCGTACTTAACTCCTATTATAATATAGTCTGTTTCTTAATTTTGCTATTTTCATGCCTCCACTAGCAATTTCCGAACTATTCACCAAAATAACCTTTCCAAACTTTGATTTCTTCTCGAACCGAAAACCGATAGTGATACTGTAGCACTCGAACTAAAAACCTCCCCTCGAAACTTATTTCGGCTAAAGTAACCTAAGAAAGTTTTTGAAAAATGCAAAGTTTTAATAATTGCATTTTGGTCCCATTTCAAAGTTTTAAAAATTACAAAGAGATCCTTTGCTTCCGCTAGGTTAATAAATATTTTGATAAACAGGTTCGATTTATCGCCCGATTAGAAGGGGGGTGCTACATACGAGTTCACTTAACTCCCTCACCCTAGAAATCTCCAAGTGGTTCCCAATAATCGAGTAGAGATATCTATGGTATAGTTGTACAGCATTAGTCCTTATGACCTAGACATCACCGTGACTTCACTAGAGGACCAGTTGTATCGTGACATGTCCCTGAGTTCCACCGAGGACCACCCCAAGGGCCAGTGTTCGTGCAGTCCGAAATCTAGTGGGAGGTATGAGCATTGTATTCGGGGATTCAATCGCTAGAATAATCTTGGATGTTCTGTGTGTTCTTATAGTTTGTAATCTCTCTAAGTCTCTGGCCAGAGCTGACTAAGTGATGATTAGAGAATTCGATTCTCTAAGTTATGCACGTAACGATTACAACCCTTAGAACGATCGCACCGTCATTGAACAGATAAAGAGGTCTCGATAAACCAATGCCTCTAGTTCAATCGGGACATATGAATCGAAGGGATCGTATTATACGCTAACTATATCTGAAGGTTCTTGCAGGCACTTCATTTGTATCTAGGGAATCATGACGCGGAGTTGCTAGACGCCAATCTTGATTCGTTGGGTGATTAAGGTGAAACGAGCTTCATCTTAATCGTAACTCTAAGGGACGAGTTTTGACCACAAAGGGTTGTGGGTCCACGGCTAGCTTACACCTGAACCATCGAGGGTCACACTGCTCGTGTACATGAGATCTTTGAATAAACGGTCAAAGGTAAAAATATTTTATCTTTGCATGATTGGAAGTCAATATGATT